TCTTTCGCGCGGAGATTTTTATTCAACGTAAAGCACTTTTTAAATTAAATTACTTTATATCTCTGCGTAGAAGCAAATTAAAAAGACAAAAGTTTTTTCTTAATTCTATGTTTTTTAACAAAAAATGTTTATCATTTTTAAAAAAAGCGTTGCTCCAAATTAACTTATTAATAATGAATTAAACTATTATTTTATAAACAATTTTATTTAACTATTTTTACTACTTTAAGTATAATAAAATATATATTAATTCGTTTTTATTAAATAAAATTTCTATAAGTAAAATTGTACTAATAGAAACCAGCAACTTTTTTAACTTCACGTTTTTCGTTTTTATTTTTTTCCTAATAATTATTTTAACAAAAATTGTCGAAAAGAATATGAAAAACGCGAAACAATTTTTTTATATTTTCATTTTATTTATAGTGACATCTAGACTAAACATTTCCTATAAATACGCAAGTTGTTTTCGGGAATTTTATTTAAAAAGAAATCTTTTTGAACAAGAGAACTTTAGCCTTAAAATTCACTTATTCAAATAACTTTGTGATTGAAATTTGAAATTTAAAAAAATTTGAAAAATTGAAAAAAAGTTTGATGAAACAACAGAGAATGAAGGTTTTTTTTTTTTGTAAATCGTAAATTTTGTTAACCTTTTGATTTATATATTTTTTCTTGAAAATAGTTTTAAAAGTGGAAGCATTCTATTGGAAACATCAAAGCAGCGATTGCAAATTGAAAGTTAAAATAAAAATTATAAAAAATTTAAATGAAATTTAAAAAATTATTTTCTATTCAAAATTTTTTTTTCTAAAAAAATAATTTAGACATATTCTTATACTTAATATAATTCGATTTATTAAACAAAATTTTTTGTTTCACTTTTTTTTGGAAAACAATTATAACTAAAAAAAAATTGAATGAACATAAGCTTAAAAAGCTTAAAAAACATTTGAATGAAAAACTTAATTATACTTAAATTTTTAATAGTACGCTTGATCAGGAAACGATAATTTATAAAAGACGTGGTATCTAATGTTTTTTTGCTTCTTATGGTCTATAGATTATAAACTCGTATGGGTATATAGGGGCAAATATGAAGTTTTAGTTTTAGTTTATTAACTAGATCAATTTTATTTATTTGCTTCATTTTATTTTAAACGCGTTTTATTTTATAAACACGAAACAGCGTCACGAATCTGTTTTACATTAACCTAGGCTCTTTATATTTTTAAAACAACTTTGTTTTAAGCTTTCATAGTTTTCAACAATTAAAATTAACACGTGTTTTAACGTCAGCATGAACGTATTAAATAGTTTTCTTTGACTAATTAAAGTGGTTTAGATATTGTAATGTTGCTTTTTCTCTTACTTTTTTACTTTTACTTTTTTAAGTATCATGTTAAGTAAAAATATACTTAAAGAAATATCTTAGTAGTATTAAAAACATTATTGCTTATTACAACTGCAACTTAAATTTTAAGTTATAACTTAAGTAATAACAGTAAGTAACTTAAATAATAACAGTAACTTATGCTATTTTAAACTCTGCCAAACAAGTAAATTATAAGATTATATTTAAATATAAGAGATAATATGTTAAAAATAGAACAATTATGTACAAAAGTTACAATTATATACTAACGCAACTTTTCTCCCCCCCCCCCCATTACTGCAAAGCGGCGCAAGGTTAAGGAGGGAGGTTGTGATTTTTTTTTTTCGCGAATAGATTTTTTTGCGTTAATTCGAGCCCTGTACCCATTACTTTTGTTTTGTCCCCTTATTTTGAAACCCTAACTCTGGTTAATACATTCCTCATGTCATCATTAATAATCCTGATCCAAAGGCTATTTGGTTTACATTAACATTGTGATAGCTAAAGCTATATAAAGTATTTAAATATATTTAGTAAATAAATTTTATAGCAATGACAGTTTCATTGAGTGGTTGTGATAAAGAAGATGGGTCATGGCATACTAAGGACATATTTGCCTGTTTTGAATTCATTTTATCTGCTAAGCTGAAAGCAACAGACAATGTTGTTGGAATATGCAAGCTATGCCTAAAGTCAAAAGCATCTAAAATATCTGGTAGAGTAGCAATGTCATCAAATTTCAGAAACCATTTAAAGGTCAGTTACACCTGTTAATGTTATTATTTTTATTAACAAAAAACAATAAAAAAAACTAAAAATTTGTGAATGGCTTTTCTTTAATTGTAGACTTTTCTTTAATTGTAGGCTTTTCTTTAATTGTAGACATCCATTGAAATTGTCTGAATTGGAAATTGATCTGAAAAGGAAACGAACAGAAGATTATCAGCAACCCAGCAAAACAATGTCATCTAACAGGCCTCAGCAAACCAACAGCAAAACATGTTTGCAACAAACAGTTAATAAACACATTCAGGATTTTATAGTTGTAGAAATGAAACCTTCAGACTGTCGAATGTCTTTCTTTCAAGGCGCTGGTGACTAAATTGTGTCCATCTGCAAGTGTGTCATCTAGAGTTACATTGACAAAAAGCATACAGCCTGATTGTGGCACAATGTGTCTCGCAATCAAGGAACATCTCTGGAGTAGTCATAACCAAAGTTTTTTAGGAACTTGCAACTGGATAAATCCTGTCACTTTGGAACGATGATCTATTGTTTTGGGTTGTTTGCGATTTAAAAGAAAACATTCGTTTGATGTAATTGCATCAGCAATACCAAGTGCGTGCACGTTATGCTGTTGAACAGAAAGTTGTAAAAATGCGCACAGATAATCCATCAAATATGATAAAAGCATTCTATATCTTCAAGAATGTTGATATTGGTGAGAAGAACAAGGATACAGCACCTGGGGAATCAGTGTTGAACTTGAACAGAGATTCAGAATCAGAGAATGACAACGAGGACACTGGAGATTTACGTGAGGCAACTGCATGCTTTGACAGTGCGTCCGATTTAATTCTTAGCTCAACAAACGACACTGATGTTACATTGCCCCCACACATGAGATGCTGCACACATTCTTTAAATCTGGTGTCAACCACTGATGCTGCAAAAGCATTAATAGACAAAACAAGCACATTCACAATCAAGCAATGGCAAAAGCAACAACTCTATGGAACTTAAGAAGAAGAAGAACAAAGGCTGCAGATTAAGCATATGATCTGCTTCAATTCCAATTCAATATGCCTTGCATAATAAGATGGAATTGGTACTATGAAGCTGTCAAGAAGATTCTTAAAGCAGAACAAAAACTGAACATTGCCTGCTTTGCATTAGAACTTCCAGTATTTTTGCAGAACCATTTGGCTTTTCTGAAGGAATATGTTATGTTGTTTGAACCTGTGACAACTGCTATTATAATTTTACAAGGTGAAACCAATTGCTACTTGGCAAATGTACTTCCAACAATCCAGTCAGTTCAAACAAAGCTCCAAAATGCAGAGATCAGATATACAACACCACTAAAAGAAGCTGTTCTACAAGGGATTGCAAATCACTTTGTTGGTTACTTTGATGATCCAGAATTTCTCATGGCTACAGTTTCACATCCAAAATTCACATAAGCCTAAACACAAAAATAGCCATGTGTATGCATCTATTGAATGCACAAGCTACATAATTTGAAGAAAAAATTAAAGAGTCCCTAAAAGACAAAGATGGTCAGAACATTCCAACTGAAAATAACAAAGATAATTTCCTTTTCTCTGAAGTTAACAAACCAAATATAATGTCGTGTGAAAGTCTTTTACAGGATTCAGACCGTACTTTTACCATGCTCCTCCATGAAGCAGTCAAGCATGTTTTTTTTAAATACAACACCACACTGCCATCAAGTGCTCCAGTTGAAAGATTTTTTAGCAATGGATTATTAGTTGTGAAAAAGCGGAGAAACAGACTGAGTGATGATTTGTTTGAAAAACTTTTATTACTGAAGCAAAGTGGGAAGATTGAGTTATAAAAACTCAAATTATTATAATTTACAAGTTTCAATGTTTTGCTTCATGCATCTGCACTGCAGATGTCGGCTTCGTGATAAGCAGTCCATAGACATGCAGACTTTTATTAAATACCTATTCTAATTATATCGCACAGCCATAAATAATAGAATATTATTTTAATTCTTTTATAATTGTTTTAATTTTTTTTAATGCATCTTTCAGCAAATAGTAATGGGAAAGTAATGATTACATAAAGTAATGGAGAAGTAATCATTACTGAACCAGTAAAAAGTAATGGAGAAAGTAATCATTACTTTTCCAGTGAAAAGTGATGGCCAAAGTAATCATTACAATATTTAAAGTAATAGATACAACACTGCCAGAACATTCTTTTTTATATAGGAGAGCACATTAACGAATTAAATTTAATATGTTTTGACGTTGTGCTATTCTACAACAACAAAAAAAATAAAAAAAAGAAAGAGTATCCTGGTCAGCCTACTAAAAACCCAAAATTATGAATGCTTATTTATTTCCAATTGGATCAGAAATTGGAAAACCATAAAGATTTCAAAATTTTTATAATCTTATCGGTAATGGTAGATGATTATAATAATATAATAAAAGCAAATCTAATGGTAAAATAAGCATTCTATTTGAATAATAATGTATAATTTAATATGAAAAATTTATGCTTTAACTTATTATTTATCAAATATATAAATTATAAAAAACTATACAATGTAGTATACAATAATAATTTTATATATACACACACACACACACACACAGATATATATATATATATATATGTATATATATATATATATATATATATATATATATATATATATATATATATATATATATATATATATATATATATATATATATATATATATATATATATATATATATATATACATATATATATATATATATATATATATATATATATATATATATATATATATATATATATATATATATATATATATATATATATATATATATATATATAATAAATCTTTCTCAATATTTAATTTACATAATATAACATAATTTACTTCTCCAGAAGACACACTTTTTATTAAATTATTTGCCACTTTCTCCATAACAAAACTGTAATTGTTAAGTTTTTCTAAAAATGACAACTAAGAAACTAAATGAAATGCAAAATAAAGACATTTAATACTCAAATACAATAACATTTTATTTTCAAAATTAATAAAGTAAGATTTGTTGTTTTGTAACACAAATCAAATAAATCTTTAACTCAGGTAACCTTAACTATTTAGAATTCTGAGTTTAAGATTCTCAATTACATTAGTCTTGAATAAATATGTCATAGATTTGACATATTTATTCAAGACTAATTTCTGGAAAAAGTTATAAAATTATACGTTTTAAGTTACGAAACTTTTCAAAATTATTAAAAAAAAAAAAAAAATACTCCCAAAACAAAAGTAAATAAAAAAAAAACGCAAACAAAAAAACGCAAATCAAACGAAATATATAGAGCAATATACTTCGAATGGTCCTTATTACGAACACTCGCTTTTCTAGACAAAGTTATCATTTGCAATTAAAAATAAAATTTCAGAGATTGCCTTCAGAAAGGCTTCAAAATTAGAACATTTTGAAATATGGTTCTACGTCATAAAATCATGACGGATTTTTTAATCCACCTTTATGTCACAGCGTGGCTGTGGTGTGCTAATCAACTTTTTGGTATAATATAGCTGTCAAATGAAAACGTCAGCTAAAAATTGGTAAACTTAATTGTTTTGCCCAACCACAAGATATATGCCAACTTTATATCTTTACCAACAACAACTACAAAAAGGGGGCGTTAAAGTTTGACTGACTGAATATATATAACAAATTATTATTTTTTAAAGGTCATAATTTATACATCATCATAAATATGCGTTTTAGGAAAACGCAGTACAAAGTAAAAAGTTAGTAAAAAGTAGTAGAGGGTCCAAAATGTATAATTACTATTTTTGTTTTCAATGACACATTTTCCGTTGCAGATAGGAATACTACGAAAACGCAAATCAGACAAGCAAAAATACAAAGCAGTATTTTTAAAATCGGGAGTAAGGGGAAAAAGAAATCTTATTTGTTTAAGAATTGCTTATAAGAAAGAGATTTTCAAATATTTTGTAAATGCAGGAGGGAGATAAATTACTTCTTTTAAATTTGTGAGACTCCCGCCAAACTTGACAGGTATGAGATAATTAAAGTTATTTTTAATTTTCTGAACACTGAAGTTAGAGGCGGTTTTATGGAGGTATGGGGGGATTTAAAAAATTCACCGTACCCCCTCATTTTATTCGTAGAATCGCCTCTGCCTGAAGTAAATGCAATAGGCATAAAAGCACTAATATGCTAATTGTTTCACACAGTTAGTTTGTTGCTTATCTTATGAATTAAGTTATACATTTACTAGAATATGTACGAATAAGCGCGGTGAATATTTGCGCATTTTCAACAGTATTTTATGCCTCTAAAGCTTGGTTTTCAATAGCCGTACAACAGTTGTGCAATTTTCTTGCAGAAATTGATTTGCTTTTATTTACAACATAAACTTTGTTATACAACCAATATAGTAAGGAAGAGTGGAAGAGGCCAATTTTAAAAAAATATATTTGATGGTTTATTTACTTATAGATACAATAAATAAATAACATAAGCATACAAGGTGTAATACACATTTAGTGTATTGAGTCTAACAACTGTAGATATCAGACTGTAACATCATGATTTGTTAAAGCCTGACATGAAGAGAAACTTGGCATGATTTGCTTATGTCAAGCCTCTCTTATTTGAAATGAAAATTCCTAATACTTATTAGCTGAATGTTTTTAACATACTTTGTTTTATGTACAAATGTAAAACTAACTCCTATTTCTATTCATAATCTCTATATACCTAAAAAGATTAAAATAAATACAACTTAAGAAATTATTAAACTATTTAATTTAACAACTTTTTTTTAATCTACCCGGTGGGAAATGAACTAGCGACTAGCTAGCTTAATAGCGCTTCTCTAGCGATTTTTTTTTTCCTATTTTATTATTTCTTAATGTCTTTAAACATCTTTAAAAAATCGATTTTTAGTGTTGAGTCAATTATAATTATGAGGATAATCGAACTTTAAACATTGCGATTTTGTAGCAATGTGTCGCTAGCTACATATCGAAGCTTTGTAGCTAGCTACAAAATATCTACAAATCTATAGCTGGTTGATAGCTACAAATCAAATATTTTTAGACAACGACTTTATTACGATATGACGCTAGCTACAATAGCCAGTGGGTCTTTAGCTTATTAAGCTGGCTGTCCTCTTAACCAAATGTCTGTCTTTATCTTTACAAATATCGATAGCTTTTGGCTTACTTAAAAAAGCTAGCGATCCTCGTGGCCAAATCACTGTCTTTATCGTAACGATTATAGCTAGCTATTCGCTAGCCGATTTTCCACCGGGTAATTTTGGTAAGGCAAGTATTTCATTTCGAGAAGCTATTTTTTGGAACATAGAATAGTTTTGAAAAAATTCGATTTTTCCTTCAAATGGAAAAATCGAATTTTACCCTTTATTAAAAAAAAACTAAAAGAAATCATTTTATCTATCGTAGACACAATTTTATATTTTCAACCCTTTTATGTCATAATACTTAAATATTTTGTATAACATATAACAGTATATGGGATCCTCGTCTTATGTTTTTATGAAAATAGAATTTTATAAAATATTTTTTTTTAATATTCTTACGAGATTTTGTTCTTGATATTTTTCTGACACTTTGTTATTTCTTGATATTTTTTTTTGTTATTTGTTCTTAATATTTTCTTAATGTTTTCTATGTTTTTTCTTTGCACATTTTCTTATTTATTTTTTAAAACATACTTGTATATCATGCTAAATAAATATTTTTATTATAATACAATTATTTATAAATTAATATTAAAGTTAGAAAACGAAAGATAATATAGAAAAAATAAACAAATGATAAAATAAATTAAATATAATTACAAAGAAAGAAGTTACGTGTGAATGTGTATAAGTTTGTGTATTATTGTATCCTGCTGATAAAATAAGTCAAAGTGATATTTATAAATTTAAAACAGAAGCAGATTTGTTGTCTTTAGATCATAATGTTATACGCACAGAGTATAACGATCAATGTGTTCAAGTCGTTCATTTAATATTTCAAAAAGTAAGCAAATCGGAATTATTCTTGTTAAAATCTGAAATACAAAAGTATTTGTTATCGTATCCTGTAGAAAAAATAAAGAACGATTTGTTTCAAATATCTTCTCTTTATTATATTTGTTGTCGTTGGTGGCGAATGTTTCAAAACAAAAATGTTCAAAACGATTTATAAAGTCATTTAGTCAAAATTAATTCATGCGAACTTGTCGAATACTTGAAAAGTTTAACTCAACTTATTATGAACGAATCGCAAATTACAATATGGTTTAAAAATCATCCTATTGATTTACTGTCTAATAAATATTTTCTAATTTAATTTTTTAAAAAATGTATTAACGAAGTGCGAATAAATTGACGTTATGAATTCGGAATGGGACTACGAGATCCTGTTACTTTTTACATCTCCTGTGGAAATTCAAACATCCTGCAGCAAATCTTTAGTACCACTGCATGTTACAGCCTTTTAATAACGAATTTGAAGAAGGAAAAAAACTTTAAAGCAACTTATTGATAGAAAAAGAACTTAAGATAGAAAAGAAATTTTAAAACATTGTCACGCTTTTTTAAACACTTTCGAAGGCTATTTAGTTATTGATCATGATTATTTTTCAGGACAAGTGTATGGTTTAGCTCACGATAATTGTAACAAAAACATTGCTCGAAGTAGTAACAATTTAGTATGTCCTATTTTCGCTCATAACGCTTCGTTTGACAATCGAATAATGGTAATCGAAGGTTTAAAAAAAATTTTAGACGTGCCTTTGTACGAAAGCATTGGTGATATTGAGGAAGCCCTTCGAAGCTTTTTTAAAATATAGTTCCTTAGAAGAAATGTTTTTTATTGCTCAAAGTACGCGTAAAATAAGGATCACTTTTTTCACTTCTTTCACTTCTTTCGGAAAACATATTAAAATCACCGCATGCTCAAAAAAAATTATCAACAGTATACTTCACTATTTAATACCTCTTTGTCCTTACATTTTAGAAGTTGCTAATGATGTAGAGTTTCAAAATTGTTTTATTAAAAAAACTCTGTTTCCGTATTGTCAAATCAACGATGATTTATTGGACATTGAATACAAAACTATTCTTCCTATCGAACTTTTTGCTCAAAATGATTTGATGAAATCTAAAATACTTTCCAACGAAATAAATAAAATAAAATCAGCTTATGAGACTGTTTAAAAATTATGAAATTTTTCAAGATGAAAAAAATTAAGATCTATATTAGAAATTTATACTGTTTTAGGTACTGTTGTTTTAGGTGCTGTTATGATTAATATTGACGAAAGAACTTTTAAATCCACAAAATTTCACATTTTATCACATTAGTATTTTTGGATACGCCAGTAAATTAAATTCTACAATAGGTTTAATTCAAATACAATATCCTCCTACAGAAGAGCATCATCTAATGATTAGACAAAGTATAAGAGGGGACATGTTAACAAACTGTTCGCAACGTTATGCTATCGATACTGATTATTTTGAAAAAAAAAGTTAACAAACTCGGGTTAAATAACGAATTGGACGGATGTTTATTTTTCTTTGACAAAAACGGTTAATACGGAGCAGCCTAACTTTAAATGCTATGGACTTGTTTTTCTATACTACCTCCTTTATATAAAACTATATTGTATGGGTAATCAGAAAAGTTTTCTCCAAAGATGATTTAACATTATAAAATGTTATAATTTCAGAATTTCCAGTCAAACTTGGTTCATATGTCAAATAATGTCAATTATTTTTACAAAATTCAAAACTTTGTTGTTGTTTCGGACTCAAATGTTAATAAAGTACACAAGGATATACTTGAAGTGATAAACCATATCACCATTTAACGATCTTAGGCAGATTTTTCTCAAACAATTCACTCCCCAGTCATGCTTGTCTTTATCATTACTAATAAATTCAATATCCAATATCCAAAACTATAAAATAATGTATTTTTTATTAAAAACGCGGAAAGAAACTTTTCCATATACTTATATGCTATCATCAGATATTTTGTTCCAAAAGTTTGAAAAGTTCTAAAAGCAAGTTTCAAAATGTCTATAAAAGTTGTTAATGTCATTTTTTCTTCCGTATATCGTAGCGTCTTTAACGTTAACTTACATTAATAATGATAGATAGCCTATAATTATATGGAAAAGTTTCTTTCCGCGTTTTGTCCGGCAAACCTATGTCCTGCAAAAATATGTCGGACTAACCAATGAAATTGCGAAAAAGACTAGTAAAAAAATTCTATTGGTTACTTAAAATAAACCAATAAAAAAATAAAAAAAACAGTAAAAGGACATTTCTAGACAAAAGATAAATTTTAAACTCGTATTGGAAAGTATTTTATATTATGATATACCGTAAAACCACCTAAGTTCGGTCACTATGTAACTTCTTCGGTCATTTAAGAAAAAATATAAAAAAAGCATGCTAAACTCAAATTTTACAAACTTATTTTCTCAAATAATATTTGTAATTAGTTCGTAAATATAAATCTATAGAAAAATTAATATTATTTATATGTAACCTGCTGAAATAATTCTTTAGCAAAACAACAATTTGAAAAAATGCAGACTATTAAAATCTAAAATAAGCAAACTATTAAAATAAATAATCATATTTAATCTTAGCATTATTAAGAATCACCAAATTAATTATATTTACAAAAAAAAATTTATAATTTTAAAAAATTAATTACTTTTTTTAATAAAATTAGTAAAATTTCTAAATACTCTAACTTCGGTCATTCACGGGCAAACAATGAAGAAGACAATTAGCAGTAATATTGTGAAATATTGATAAGTATTGCGAATGTAAAGTTTACCGGTAACTTTACCTGTAAATTAACCAGTAAATTTTGACATTTTTATAATCGATACACACCATGGTAGTTTATTTGAATAAAAAATTTGTTCATAATTTCGACGGTTCTTTGAGTTCTAAAAAATATCAAGCTTGTGACATTTTTTTTGGAGATAAAATTAATTAATAACATTTTTTTGGAGATAAAATTAATGCTCAACGACAATTATGGATGCGATGCGAACCCTGTGACGATTGTTTGTGAGAATCTTGCTGTTCTGCTATGGTCAACGATACGTGCAAGAATTGCCAGTAAATATACAAAGCTCATTTAAAGCAAAGTAGTGTTTTTTTGTTAATTGAAAAAAATCTTTTTAAATTAACTGAAAAATATATTTTTAATTGTATTAACCGGTGGCGTAGCAAATGTGATTATGTTGAAAGTAATAAAATAGTTGACTAATTATAATAAAGTTTAAAATACTACTACTTATAATTAAAAAGACCTTTTTTTATGTGCTCCTTTTTGTTTTATGTGGTGCTCCAAAAGACTATTTTTTTTGAGCCCTGACGCCCTCCTTAGTTACTGGTATTACCTGAATTTATATCGTAATTTTACAATAAAAAACATTTAAAAAATAGTTTTCATTATTTGTAACGTTAAGTTTGTGATACGATATTAGTATTTATATAGTGGCCGAACTTATGATGGTATTGAAAGTTCGGTCAAAGTAGATGTTTTCATTTTAAATTAAATATTGAGTACTAGTTTTTATTTTTCATTTTTTATTTCTACAATTAGCAATAAAATTTTCTGTATGTTTCAGGAAAAAAAATTAAAAAATTTTATTTTTATGCGTGATAAATAAATGTTCAAAGCTTAAGTGACCGAAATTAGGTAATTGTACGTTATCCAGTATTCAAGGATTTGTTTTGTTTTATTTTGTAAGACTTGTATTACCTAGACTAATTGAAATTATATGTATTATTTTATTTTTATTTGTTTGGATGGGCAGATGTATGTTAACGTTAAAGTTTACGTTATTGTATATATATATATATATATATATATATATATATATATATATATATATATATATATATATATATATATATATATATATTTATACAGAGAGAGTGACGCCTGGGACAAAGCACCAGTTAAACTGTCCTATTGTTATGCATAGTTTTAAAAGGAATTTAAATTAAAAAAAGCATATATATATATATATATATATATATATATATATAATATATTACAATATTTTACAACATATTAAAATATTTTACAACATATTACATCATATTACAATTTATACATATTACAACATATTACAACATATACATATTACAACATATTACAATTTATAAACAACATATTACAAATTTTTTTACTTTCATATGTATGACGAAAAGATTCTTTTTAAAAAAAAATTACTTTGATATAAGAATGGGAACAAGAAACCCTAAAATCTTAGCCCCCCCCCCCTTTAATTTGAGGGGGCTGCAAACTTTAAACGGTCATAATTTTTGAACACTAGAATATTTTACTATGAAATTTAAAAATTCACGATGAATATTAGTCTAGTTGAATATAGTACAAAAAGTATTTCATCAACTTGCTGCTTTCACGTTTGGGACAGGGGGCTAAGATTTTAGGATATCTTGTTCCCATTCTGCTATCGCAGTAATTCTTTTTTTTTTGAATTTTTTTGTCGTACATATGGACGTAAAAAAATTTGGAATATTCTTGTTGTTTAAATGTTGGTTATTTCAAATATTTCAAAATCTTCCTACGCCACTGTGTTTATATATGTATATATATATATATATATATATATATATATATATATATATATAATATATATATATATATATATATATATATATATATATATATATATATATATATATATATATATAAAAGGAAAAAAAGTTGATGGGCCTTATTAATCTTATTCCATAGATCTTCCAGGTTATTTTTTTAAAATCCGGAAAATTGTTTAATAAAAAATATCCGGAAATTGTATAATAAAATATCCGGAATATATTTTCCCTTATTTTCCTCTTAATTTTGCTTTTAGCAGAATGGTTTCAAGTTTTTTTAGTTTTGGTATAAACGATGAGTGAGAAAACTTAAAAATAAATATATTCCTAACCTTGTATATGTATGGAAAACATTTTGACTATCCGGAAAAACTAAAAGTTGAGAAAAATCCGGAATTCCGGAAATATCCGGAAAATGATAATCCCTGTAATTAGGACTCTTACCCTGTTAATTTTAAAGAAAATTAAAGTTTCCATGTAAAATCTTTTTTCTATAAAAAAGAAAGTTGTCTCTTTAATACGTACACTTAATCTATTACTAAGCACATTAAAACCTTAAATTCTATCATAAAATATACGCAACAATATTCTATCGGTGTTTTCATGTTTTTAGAAATTTTAAAAAACTTTTTAAAAAAATCTCTTCTCTTCGTATGATGTAGCATATAATATCTTTATATATATACTTTGTATTCTAGAAAATTGGGAAAGATTAAAAAAAAAGTGTGAAAACAAAAGGATTTAAACCCACGCAAAGCACTTTAGCCACTTTGGTACCCTATAATATTATCTTTTAAAATTGTTTAATAAGCAAAAAACTTATAATAAAACTTTATAAAACGGCTTTTTAAAAATTCGTATTAATCAAAATTAAGCAAATACTGCCGCAATAAAATTTTTAAGTAAAAGTAAATCTGTAATATTTGATATAATTTTTTAATGATTTACATAGTTCAAATTTATGTCAGATATTTGCAAAGACTCTCGTTTACACAGATAAAATACAAATCATGACGGATTGTGGTTTCAAAAAAATGCCTCATAGCTTTGTATAATCAAGGATATTTTTATTTACACATTTATTAACAAATTAAGAAAACATAACAATTTTTAATAGTTTTCAATTGTATGTATATATTGAACAAACATGTAACCTGATTAATCTAAAAAAAGTAATCGAATTATAAAGGAACAAAATATGCCACATGAATTAACTGGAAATCAATTTATTTATACAAAACAAAATATATAAAGAAAAGTATTAATATTTACAAAAAATTAGCTAAATTATCAATTATCAATTGGTAGATTAACCAACTATAAAAATACTAATTATAGATACAGCGTATTTTTTTCCCACTATTTCGTCATACTTTACTTTCTATAGGATCAACACAGAATATTAAAAAAAAAGGAGTGGAGATTTTGCCCTAAATTTAAGCCCGCGTCTTATGTGCCTTATGAGAGTGGGCGCTCTATTTGATCTGCAATAAACTGAAAAAGCATTGTAAGATGTCTAAAATGAAAAAAAAAAAAAATAATAATAAATTAATACATGATAAAAGAAATAAGAACATAAAAGATTAACACTACAAACAAATTTACCTGCTGCTGATGCCTTTTCTAGAGCATTGTTGAAAATATTTAAAATCTGTAATCTATTCAAAATGTGTAAAAAAAAAAGACATTTATTTCAAAAACAATCAGCTATTACACAAAATAACAAAAACACAATAGCTATCAGTGCAAACAAATTTTGTAATTTGATCAGAAAATAAAGTTATTCAATCCTTGATTGCAACAACTAATTTCCTTTTACACTAATAACTAATGATCAACTTAGCAAATTTTAAATAATCAAAGTTTACTAAGTTAAAACTATATTTTAACAGTAGACAAATCTCAGCTCGCCTAACCTGGTTTATTTTATTTTGAGTAATGTCTAATAATTTTACTTCTTTAATTAAGCATCAAAGGATTGTGTAAAAATGATACCTAAAATAATAAAAGTTGAAATTTGAATTTAACTTCTCAAACACATCTAAAATACAGTGTAAGCAAATAAAACAACATAATATAAAAATTTAATTGTATTCTAGTCTACTATTAGTCATATTTAAATTAGATGTTTTAAAATAATTGAGCAATGTGTAAAGATATTTCTATCAAGAAACATATTTCTATCAAGAACTTAAACTAAAGTTAAATTGATGTAATCTTTTTAACTGAGTAATGTTATATATTTAAGGTAGTTCTTATTAGTTATTGACATAATATTATAAGTATTTAATAAAATAAAAAAAAAATAATAAGTTATTAAATTTTTTTTTTACAAACAAAAACTCATAAATAAATCAAATTAATAAATTTATAAGGCCTGTCTGCTCAGTAAGTATTGTTAGCATTGAACAATGAAATGTAATCCTCCATCATAAAATTCCTTTCATTACTTTGAAATGTACTTAATGCAAGATTTGCAATAAATAAGTCAATACAAAACTGATAATAGAAAACCTCTCTATAAACAATTATTTATTTCAAGTGAAAAAACTTGGAAACATTGAAACTTTTTGAAGTATTTTGATTTTTTTATATATTTAATATTTTAAAGAAAAAAAGATCACTAATACAATGCAGAAAAATTATTGTATTTAAAAATGTATGTATGTATGTATGTATGTATGTATGTATGTATGTATGTATGTATGTATGTATGTATGTATGTATGTATGTATGTATGTATGTATGTATGTATGTATGTATGTATGTATGTATGTATGCATGTATGTAGGTATCTATGTATTTATTTATTTATTTATCATCAAAAGCATAAATTGTTAGAACAGAGTATATATCTTTTCAACAAATTTTACTTAAGAAGTAACAGCATGTAAATATTTAATGAAGTATTTTCAATAAAATTTACTTAAAATGAAATTAAAAAAAAATTATAGGTATTATAAAACTATTTATCATTTCAATATTTCTTTCAAATACATTCTTTTAACAATATTTTTTTAATACATTTTATGACTACGCTAACTACAAAAGATTTAATTGTTTCATCATGACACTACACCACTTTACTGGCACAAACAACATTCTTGCTCTCAACAAAGCTAAGTCACATTAAAGCAAAGTACACCACTTGGCTAGCAAGGTCAACACTCTTGCTGTAAACTAAGTTAAGTCACAACAACTTGAAACCATGCAAACAACATAATAACCACTTACAAACTAGGCACATGACATTATAACACATCACAAATATAGAAACACTTCATATATAAAAGATATTTACGCACTTACAAAATATAAACCCATATAACCTGAACACATATAAACATATTATAAATAACACACAAATATAAATAAATATATAAAATAAGAAAAGTATATAAATTAGAAACTTTACAAATACAACTTTATTTTTGTAATATTTGTTTTATGGCATACTTCGTAATAAATGTTTAACAACTTTAAAAAAACAAATGATCAAACAACGTGGTTTTTTATTTATAAAACCAAACAGATTTTTTTTAACTTCTTTAAAATAAGGTATTAAACAATCTTGTTCTTTAAAATCTAACATAAAGTTGACCGCATGAGATGCAAGAATTTTGGAGATAAACAATAACTTTAACAAGAGTTTGACCTCTTGATCTTTGAAAAGAGCAACGTCTTTTAGAGTCATCACCGTCTTCTAATTTAAAAATTAAAAATTAAAAAATAATATACTTTAAATACAATTGACAAAGGACTTGAACTGTGTTATGATTATGCATGAATTAAATAAATTACCTGACTTAAAAAGTCAATATACTATTTAAGGATAACATAAAATTTATCCTTTACTACAGAAGTCATTAAATTAAAAAAATTGTCGATCTTATTACTAACTAAGCTGATGAAGCAAAATTTTCGATCTTATTACTTATTAAGCAGATATTAACAGATTATTAGGATTTAGAAGTCACTCATCGCTAGACATCTGCATCTTCTCGTATCCTTTCGGAAGTTCGGCTTGTCACGGTAAAAAACGACATTTTTCGTTTCGTGCCGTTTTTACGAAACAAGAAATATGAGTTTCGTTTTTTACCGTATTTTTACGAAACAAGAAAATTGTGTTTCGTTTCGTATCGGTTTTTACGGAACATTTCATAATTCCCCTTAAAACAGATACCCGAGCAATTCATAAACTATAACATTCAAGTAGAAAAAATGTGCGTTTAATACTCACTAGCTTAATGTTTTGTAAACGAAAGTATAACTAAAAAGTTTAACTTTATATCGTTTCGTACCGGTTATTTCGTACTTTATTTAGTTTAACCTTATTTCTTTTCGTACAGTTTTTAACAAAAATTTGTTACTTTTTGTACCGTTTTTTGCAAAATTGTATATAAATTATTTCGTTTTGTACAGGTTTTATCAAAATAATATTTTTTATCGTTTCGTCTTGTTTCGTCTTGTACCGTTTTGAGATGCAGATGCTTACTCATCGCGTTTCAAAACAAGACCAATTTTTTTAATGCTGACAATTAACATTGCTGCAGCCGAAGTAGGATCATAAGTATACTTTTTTTTAAAGTACCATCACTTTAAAAAAATATGTTTATTATGCTACTTACGTCCTAATTTAAATTCCAGACATATTTAAACCGCTGTCGTAAACTTGGCTACCGCATTTATGCAAGTTAAACCTTTCTTTTAGAAGTAAATTAACAATACTCGCTGCTTTCTTTCTATGTCTTTGACACAAGAAAAGCGCTTTTTTATTTCCCAGCTTTACTAGTTAAAGTCGAAGTGCAAAAAGAAAAGAATAAAAGAGATATGTAATACATCCATCGTGCCATCGAAGATAATGGTATAGTGTCATGACTAAGTTTATCTTAAACAATAAAATATTTTGTTCGGATAAGATCTACTTTACTGACATCAATATAAAAAACAAGTCAATATTTTTTCTTTGGTTGGCCCACACCAATTAAAGAAGATTATTTAAAACTTTTTAACTTTGGTAATATAAAAAAGTAAGTCCATTGCTACTCTCATTACAACATTACTACTCACCTAGTAAATTTATTTTACACAAAATAAACAAAAATATTTTTTTTTTAACTTATTGCAAAAAAAACTTATTATAATATTTAAGTTAAAATGTTGGCTAATAAACTGAAAATTGTTTTTTTACAAAAACAGCTTATACCTTATAATATAGATCCGATTTAGAAACAAAAAGACACTGTATACACAAATGAAAATTTGTCCTTCACGATCTAGCGCCCAAATTATCTTGACGCCCGGGGCACGTATACCTCATTTGCCCCTCCATCTTGGCGGCCCTGCCAAGATAACCAACAATCATGCAGCTAAACCGGAGTTTCTTGCAAAAATTTTTGGACAAAGAGAACTTCAATAATTTTAGATTGATGATGACAAAACCTAAATGTTTGTTTAACAAGATGAAATAAAAATAGTTACATGAGGTTATTTATTACTACATTATATTATACATAAAGTTTTATGTAAAAGTATTTTATTTAAAGTAGAGCAATAATCGTAAAAAAATATTTGTAAAACACTATGTGAAGTGAACAAAAACTATAAAACTTTTAACATTTTATTAAAATAAAAAAATTAAACACAAAAAAAAAAATTCAAAAAAAATTTACAATTACACCTTTCGAAACTATATTGAAATTGCAATTGATTATGCTGATGAAATTTTTTTGGTATATCACGTCAAAGAATAAGCTTTGCGAGAAATATCTTTTTTTAAATTGACTTTTTTTGTTTTTTAATTTTTATTTAGATACCCCAAGAAATTTACAATTAATAACATTATGTAGATTATTAAATGCTTCAATTTAATAATTTACATGTTTATTTTTGTATTATTAGATTTAATAAATATAAATATAGTAAATTTTGATTAAAATGCTTTAAAAAATAAACCATCAATAAATGGAAACGTGGACCGACGTGTCGAAGTTTTAAATCTTTTGTAGCAAGAGATGGTTATTTGTCCGAAGTAAATTCAGGTAACATTTAAGCTTTTTTAAAATACCATGCTGTACCTTCGGAAAGTTTGGTTAATGAAAGTTAATGGTAAGTCATTCATTTTTGTAAAAGATGCTATAAAAGGTGTTGAAAAAACCTATTAGTGGGTGGCATATATTTGACTTCAAGAAATTGGATAAGTTGACTAATTAGATTTTGACAATACTTTAGTATATAGTAGAGAGATCAGATAGCTCAGTCAAATAACAACTTATTCAATGTTTTGAAGATACTATTTTGTTATATGTAATATGTTATCTTCCTATTTATTAATTGTATTTTAAAAATAATAAAAAGTCTAATTATTAATTAGTTAATAATTTACCTGCCTATTTAATCAATCTATGCAATAATAACCAAGTCTTTAAGTAGAATTAAGATATCATATAACTCAGATAGATTATGATTTCAGTTTTTATTCAATAGTAAGTAAAACTTTTGATATCTTATATTGAAATGTATAGCCATTCTCGAAAATTCTCAAAAATATGTTTTATACAATTATAAATTTAAGTACAGAAACAAATGATTATTTTAATCAAATATTAATTAAAGAAGCCGTGTCACAGTGGTTAGAACTCTGACCTCAAAACAAAAAAGTCCAAGGTTTGTTTCCTGTTCTGGCTATATTTAAATTAGAACTATATAAGAAAATAGCAAATACTGCAAAAGTATTTGATAGGTTCTTGTCTTTTCTTTAAGTTTCTAAATTTTCAATTTAGTTTAGATAACTTCAGTTATCAAAAAGTTATCTAAGGTATTTCAATTTATTGCCCACTTTATCATATTAAAAATCAATTAGCAACTTTTCATTGATTAGTGGTAATCATGTGTAAGAAATTTAAAAAACAAAAAGAAAAAAAAAAACAACTTTTTTTGCTGCCATTAAGTGGATATTAATAAAGTTTTTTCTATATAAGTAAAACTTTTGCTAATTTCTCTTTATTTACCTACACCAATAAACCTATACTATTTAATTAATTTGTTTTATTCACATCGTTAGAAGAGTTGTATTGATACGTCTTTGAAATTTTCTTATACTTCCGATATTGAAACAAATGCCGATAATGAAAACAAAATAGTCTATATGCGTCAAAATTAAAAGCACATTTTCCATAATTTATGAAACAATTAAAAGTCGGTTTTACAAATAAAATAAAACAGCGTAATTTATTTGTTGACGGCGAACTTTAGAAAAAGATGTGTAAACCGACCAAAAACTGTGAAAATGTTTTTGAATCATAAATATTTTCACAGGTTAATGTATTATATCCAAAATTTTAACAATATAGTGAATTTCATTTTAAATGTTTTTACTATAAATAAAACTTGGCATTTATAGAATTCTTCAATAAGTTTGAGTTCAGAGGCTAAATATGTAAATACCTCGCCAGTATCTTAGCCGGCTGCTATAGACAAATATTTAAAAAGTTGGCTTTAGAATCAAGTGGCCCAACGAACAATATATTTTTTGGTCATGTATATATATATGTATATATATATATATATATATATATATATATATATATATATATATATATATATATATATATATATACACACATATATATGCAGTGTCCCCCCTTCCCAGTTTTTCAGTTAGGGGGCTATTGCAACCTCCGCACCCCGCTGGTCCTACGCCAATGTATATATATATATGTATATATATATATATATATATATATATATATATATATATGTATATATATTATATATATATATATATATATATATATCGTAATTTTTTGCAAATAATAGTATGTTTTTTTGTAATCTGATTAGTATTTAGTATTTGTGCATTGATTTTTAACAAAAAACAAAAGTTTTCACAAGTATCAAGGGCAAAATATTACTTTTTTAATTAAATATTCTTTTTTTAGTAGTAATACCAACAATAGAATGGTGAAATTTTTTTGTAATTTTGGCATATTTAGGTGCTCGTATTTTTAAAAAGCAATTTCCAGATTTTAAAAAAAATCAAAGAAATTAGCACTGTTTAGTGAAAAATATGAAATTTTCTTTCCTATATCTTTTATGAGATTTACCCGCTCTGAAATTAAAAATGTTGACTTTTTCAAGATATTATTATTAATAGAAAAAAAAAAAAAAAAAAATCAAAGAAATTTTTTTTTAATGTTTAACTGTTTCTTTTTTCTTTTAGATTTAGAGTCTACCATTAAAACACATAAAGAGTTTTCTGTAAAATTGTTTGATTATATAAAATTCCAAAAATTTAATCCCTACAAATAACTTTAAGAATTTAATTGTATAAATATCGTTTCAAGTATGACTTAGCGATAAAAAAAAAAAAAGCATTTTTAAGGATTTTTATATTGCAGTTATGAAATTTGAATATTCTATATAAAAAGTTATGAAATTTTTCATATAGAATATTCAAATTTCTTTTTTATGTCGAATATTCAAAATTCTTGACGAAAAACTGTTTTTTCAAAGATCGCGGCGCCGGTTTTTTGTAAATAGTTAAAATAATATTTTAATTAATAAACAGTGAAATTTATTTTAATTAACAACTAATTAAAAAATTATTAGTTAGTTAAGTTAGTTAGCATGATTAGCATAATTATTGTGTTAGTATTTAAATATTTTAATTATATATAGGTTTTATGCTATCTTTTTAAGTTTCTATTTTTTAATTTTCTTTTTTTTTTTTGAGTTGTTAAATATTCTCATATTAAAATTGTATTACCTTTTTAGATTGAATTATATAATTTATATATATATATATATATATATATATATATATATATATATATATATATATATATATATATATATATATATATATATATATATATATATATATAAGTATTATAACTATATATTCCTTGTATTAGTATTGATTATTATTAACTGCATTAATTGGAACCTTTTATATAATTGCAAAGTTCCTTATTTTTCTGATTTTTCTGGTAGTTACTATTTTATCCAGGGTGCTCTGTAACAAACCGATCGGTCATTTAGAAGCATTTTATTAGGCAGTAGAAAAAAAAATAATTAATAGTTTACTAAGATTAGCCCAGTGCCGGATCAAAGGGGGGCTAAGTGGGCTTAAGCACCAGGCCACGCAAATTTAGGAGCCATCAAAAATTTTAGAGGGCTTTTTTTTTTAGTCATTTTTGGCCCTGGTCCATAAAAAGGCCTCCAAAAACAAAAATATCCCCGGGCCCCAAGAAGTCTTAATCCGCCACTGGGTTAGCCAATTACTTCGGCCATTTTAAACTTGATAAAGCTGCTTTAATATAACCTATTACTACTTAGTAACCCTAAAAAATGTATTGCACACAGTAACTTCTTTAAATTTAAAATATTTAAATGTTAAACGTTTAAATATTTTCATACAATCTTTAAATAATAATAAATACTATACCAAATCATAATACCCATTGTAGAAATAATTACTTTATAGAAGATTATCAAGTTTGATACGAATTTTTTATTCTAGTCTCATTTGTTTAAGTACCTCTCTTTTTTGTAATTGGGTCTGTCGCAAAAAATAAAAACATCAGTCAGCTCAATAAGTGTCTCTTTACGTACAACAAAAATGAATAAACAATAAGATCTGTGGTTCATAAACAAATATTTCTTTTTCGCATAATAATGTTTGTCCTCAAAAAGCAACGCATTAATTTTTTAGGTAAGAGAGTCAATAATAGGTTTACTTTGCTTTTATATCGTAGTAAAACACAATGTGGTAAATAGAAAAAAGGTTGTACACGTTTAAGTGACATTTTACAACGAAACTTGTAACAGTAAAACAAAGAAACAAAACAAAAAAAATTAATTTTTTCTGATTTTTGTTAACGGAATTTATCATGCTGCACAAAAGTATAATATTTCACGTAGTCATTGGAATAGCTTTTAGCGATATAATTAGTTCTATTTCAGAGGTAACTTTTATTTAATAAAGTTAAAGAAATTATATATATATATATATATATATATATATATATATATATATATATATATATATATATATATATATATATATATATATATATATACATATATATATATATATATATATATATATATATATATATATATATATATATATATATATATATATATATATATATATATATAACATAATGTTTAGCTGTATTTTTAAAACAATTTATTGAAGTTATACTCTTCATATTATTTAATATGCTCTATTATTGTCTACAACGTGCACACAAAGAATAGCTGAGAATCGAGCAAATTAGGCCGGATAGCTTATAAAGCTTTGAGGTTACTTTAGTTTTCAAAAACTGTGTTGTTGAGAAAACGTTGTTGAGAAAACAAAACAAGTAATAATCAATTTGGGCTGAATCTGGTAAATATGGTGGGTGAGGAAATCTGCCTTAGCAAAATTCCAATAATTTTTGCTAAGTCAGTTAGAGAGATGTGATTGTGTAATTAGCTGGGAGTGTTTTCTTCAGATTTTCTAGTTGAGTAGAATTTAACTATTGTATTAGTAGCAAGTAATTTCAAGAAACTTTTGTATATGTGTATATATATATATATATATGTATATATATATGTGTGTATATATATATATATATATATATATATATATATATATATATATATATATATATATATATATATATATATATAAATATATATATTTATATAATGAGTAATGCATATTATTTAAGTTAAGGTCTAACATATTAGGTTAGAAATTGTTTTATAAGAGAATCAGTTATATTTGCACACACACCCAATACAAAAAGTAAAACAGCGGTTTCTAGCAGTACTTGACTAGTACCGCGACTTAAAGCGTGGTAACATTTGAAATCTTTATTTATTTTCTGGTGACAATAAAAGTTTATTTTAGTATTCGTTGATAAAATTACACTTCACATTCTTATTAAAATGAAATTGAAATTTCTAAAGTATGTTAATCTTACTAAGTATTACGTTACGATAGCGAAGGTTATTTAATACTTAAGAGTCATTTTTTGTAAGAATCAGGCAGTCAATGGAAGTGATCTCCTCCAAATTGCTTGAATTTTTTATATATTGATCAGAATATAGAGAAAACCTGTTGGGGAAAAAAAAATTTCCAAAAATGTTTCGTTCACTCGGAATCTTGGCTTAAATTTTTGAGATTTTTTTGAAAATTTTTAGAAATTTAGTTTTTGCCACCTTTGAACCCATTTTTATGGCAAGGCAAAAAGTTGAACATAGCTTTTGTAGTTAATATCAGACGTAACCCAGAAGCTCTCTCCAAAAAATATAAAAAAGTTGCGTGACACTGTGCGGTTGGCTAATTATCATAGTTCAAAAGTACAAAATCAATCAGTTTTGTCAATTTTTAATCGGAGTTAATTCTAGCGGCGAAGTGTTGCACACAATTTTTCTTTTAGGATTTGAAATTATCAAAGGTATTGAGTCTAAAAATGCAAAGAAAGTTATGTGATACCTAAGGCCTATTAATATATTAAGGCTTGAAATTGGAAAAAAATGTTATATTATACTTACAAAATGAGCTATTACGGCAGAGGCGCTAAGTTTTTTAAAAATATAATCATGTTAAATGGTCAATATAAGATGACCCTAACATAGTTTAAAAAAAAACTCATGTGATCTTTAGATATTAAGTTAAAAATAAAGGTACAAATTGTTAAAAATGATTATGAGGTTTTCGCTCACAATAAAATTTTTATCATCCAAAATTAGCAATTAGCACTACACAAAACATTGCACGTAATGTTAAGAAAAAATTTAAGCGTTTCTGACTATGATATAGAAATCATAACAATTGAAATAAATAATAATAAAAAACAATACATGATCAGAAGTGAATTATTTAAATTTACGTCATAACCAAATAACTTGTGGTGATCGAATGGAAGAAGAATCGCTGATATCACGATTGTGGAGAAACAAGTTAGTGGGCGGTTGTTTACTTTACCATAAAAATGTCTTAACTTTATTTTAACGATCTTTAAAATTTGCATAAATAGAGTAGATATTTTATCATTGCTATTGAGAAATAGGTACTGCATAAATAGAACTTGTTTTTAGTTGAGTATGGAACAAAACAAATATTTTTATGAAAACTGTTGTTGCTTTTCAAAAGGAAATTGTGGATCATTCAAAAAACATAAAATTATAAACAAAATGTTCTACATTCATCAGCTGGGAGATTTTGATGTTAAGAAACACCTCATCAACTTAAAGGTAATTATGTATTTTAAATTTACGCAGACTGTAATATAATTTTTATAATTACATACTTTATAACTTCTCTGCAATAAGATTTTGAGACAAAGTTCTTTAAACAAAAAAAAATAGCTCTTTTAATTAATTCCTCACTCTTTTAATAAACAATCACTAAATTAATCACACTCTTGCAATATTGTATTTTAATAATAACAACAATGTTTACTTTACTTCAATGTATAGGTGTGATCAGGGAATAGGTGATGTTGTTTCGTTAGCCACTGCAGTTTTAGACCAATTCAGAATTGATCAACCGCATATCAAGAAAATGTTTACCAAATCTGATAATGCCGGCTGCTATCAGGGAAATCTTTCAGCTGAATCAATCTACAATGTATGCAAAGAGAGAGATATAAAGTTGCTGAGATATGATTATAATGAACCCTGTTGTGGAAAAGATCAATGTGACAGGGAGAGTGCAGTTGTAAAGACAATTTTAAGGAGTTACGTTGACTCTGGTAATAATCTTTTGACTGCTGAAGATATACACAAGGCTATGCATTATAGTTTTGGCGCTAAAGATGCAAAAGTAACAGTTGCTCAAATTAGCAATGATAAAACTGTAGTTACTGGACCAAAAATTAAGAACATTAGCAACTATTACTCATTTGAGTTTGGTGAGAAAAGTATGAAGATGTGGCTTTTATTTCAATATCGGTGAGGGAATTGAACAAGAGTATGGAAATCTTAAAATTCAACCCTCGATTAAATTGTTGTTGCCATATAGCAAAACAGATAATTCAATTAAGCGTAACAAGTCACTTAAGGAAAAACAGAAAAGAAGTGACAGGCAATTATATTCATTAAGATTTTGCACTGAAATGAATTGTACTTTATCATTTGAAAGCGATGCTGAGTTAGAAGAACACATGCTATCCGGTCTTCATACAGTTCCGAAATCATTAACATCATTGGATAAAGTTCGCAACTCGTTTGTTCATAAGATGAAAATTACTTCACAACTAAATATGCCAATTTCTTCATCCTCTAACAGTGCTTCCGTAAAAGACAAACCACATTGCATGAACATTTTTCTATTGCAAGGTTGGGCATTACCAGTTCGAAGTTCTTTTAGATTTTCAAATCAGCAGAAAGAATTGTTGTATAAATACTTTATTCGTGGAGAAGAATCAGGTAATAAAATGAGCCCTGAGCAGGTTCACATGCAGCTGAGGAGAGAACTTCCGCCTGATCAATATGTAACCAGCCAACAGATAAGATCTTTATTTTCAAGGTAGGCATTGTTGCTATCAAAACTTTTGCAAATTAGATTATGTTTCTGACTGTTAAATAGTTCTTTTACAAATATGAAATTAAAATTTAGGTGAAAGTTATAATTTTGTGTGTTTGTTTACATATGTTTAAAAATATGTACAATTGATATTGTTATAGATTTAGTAACCTGAAAAGAAAAGGTAAGCTGGTAGAACCGATAACAGAAAATAATGAAAATAGTTAGGTTAACGATAACAAAGAAGTTTATGGCGAAAATGATGACTTTAATCTGACAGGAGACAATGAAGATGATAATAAATATGAGGAAAACATCACCAATCTTGCAAAAGAAATTTGTTTTGTATGGAAAGTGAATGATTGGGTTGCTGTTGCATATGAAAAACAATGGAATATTGGGTATATTGTGGAGGTAATATTATTCAAAGTATATATTAGTTTCAAGTTTTTATTTTGTTTTACAAAACAGTGCTTTAAAATAAAAGGAATATAAATAAAATGTAAAAATAATTTCAGAATGACATTATATAAGACTTTACAAGTTTTATTGAATGTAAGCAAAATTAAACAAATCATAAACTCTTTATTATATTATTTTAAATGTTGCGCTAATACTTTTAGGATTCTATAACTGGGATCAGAGTTAATTGTATGATTAACGGGCAAGAGAAGAATACTTTTCGCTGGCCAGTTACTACCGAGGAGATAAATAACCAAACTGATAAAATTATATGTTTAGTAAATGCTCCTTTTCTAATCAGTGGTTGTGGCGATTATTCATTATCCGAAGAAGACTATAATACAGTCATATCATTATTCTTAGAGAAACTTACTGCAGCAGAGTAGAAATTATGTGTGATATGGTGGATAATGTGTGTAAATGACTCTATTAATAAATGAAAAACTAATTTTTAAATGGAAAAACATTTAAATTTTTGATTTATGTTTTATTTAATTAGCAATATAGTTATCTTGATGTTAGATTTTTGTTCAGTTTTTAATTCATGTTATATCATGCGTGTGACAAAATCACACGAATTTTTTTTATTATTATGTTAGGACCTTTTTGTATTGACAGTTGGATATGTTTACATTTTTACAAAACTAAGCGCCTCTGCCGTAATGGTTCATTTTGTAAGTATACTAAAACATTTTTTTCCAATTTCAAGCCTTAATATATTAATAGGCCTTAGGTATCACATAACTTTCTTTGCATTTTTAGACTCAATACCTTTGATAATTTCAAATCCTAAAAGAAAAATTGTGTGCAACACTTCGCCGCTAGAATTAACTCCGATTAAAAATTGACAAAACTGTTTGATTTTGTACTTTTGAACTATGATAATTAGCCAATCGCACAGTGTCACGCAACTTTTTTATATTTTTTGGAGAGAGCTTTTGGGTTACGTCTGATATTAACTACAAAAGCTATGTGCAACTTTTTGCCTTGCCATAAAAATGGGTTCAAAGGTGGCAAAAACTAAATTTCTAAAAATTTTCAAAAAAATCTTAAAAATTTAAGCCAAGATTCCGAGTGAACGAAACATTTTTGGAAATTTTTTTTTCCCCAACAGGTTTTCTCTATATTCTGATCAATATATAAAAAATTCAACCAATTTGGACGAGGTCACTTCCACAGTTTCAGGAATTTGCCTGATTCTTAGAAAAAACGGCTCTTAAATGATAAATTTGCATAACAATTGGGTCTTGTAAAAATAAAAAATGAAAAAAATTCATAAAAATGAAAAAATGAGGAGAAAATTAACAACAACAACAACAAAAATTAAACAACACACGTGCCCACTGCCCAGTGGGCACAGACGTAAAAAAGACGTCTTTTAAACGTCTTTTACACGTTTTGGACGTCTTTTTATTGTTCAATTGACGTCTTTTTTGGTCCGGTCCCTACTGGGTGAGAAATAATACTAATAGTAATACTGTTAATATTTGTTTAGCGCTGTGTTTAGAGTTCTGGTTCGAGGTTCGATGCCGAGGTTTCTGGTTTGAGGTTCAATGCCGGCTCAGGCCAGATAAGTGACATTGATAAGAAAAGAAGTGTAAACTTTCTGGTTAAATGCTATTTAATAGTGCTCTTGATGTTCTTATAACTACTATTCATATTATCTCTGTGATAAGACCGATAGGTCTTATCACAAAGATGATATCAATAATAATAAATCTGAATTTAATAGGTGTCTCAATTTGAGGCGCGACTAAAAGGGTTGCAGTTTTAATTCCTCCTTAGGAGACTCTTTGTAACAATTTAAATGTTTTTTCATGTGACACCTACTCGTGCATGGCGCAAGTAGGTGTCACATAAAAAAAAAAAAAAAAGTTCTTGTTTTTTAAAATTTGCCGACTGCCATTACGACATTTGCCAACTGACTGTCTAAATTTACCGACTAAACTGTCAAAAGGATCTACATTAGCCGACTAACTAGTCAAAAAGGGTCAAATTTGCCGAATTAATGAACAAAAATCATTGATGGGGGCCACACACCCCCATCGCGCCGGCATTGTATATATATATATATATATATATATATATATATATATATATATATATATATATATATATATATATACAATGCCGTATATATATATATATATTCAGCGTTCAGCGTATATATATATATATATATATATATATATATATATATATATATATATATATATATATATATATATATATATATATAATTATGTCGATCCATTCTCAGGTCAGATATTCACTCTATAAAAGACAGACATTCACTCTACAAAACTAACAGCGTATTCAGGGTCCAGGCTACTTTTCGTTCTATAATAGAATATATACCATGTGGTATATATTCTATTATAGAACGATATATATGAAAACCATGTGGGGTAGATTTTCTGACACGGAAAAACCAAGTACATTGGTTGAAACAATGACTAATAAGAAACAGTGAAACAGTATTTCCCAACATTACCAAGATATTGTTTATTTTACTCCTCTCATCTGTTACTTCATCTGGTGTTGAAAGAGGTAACTCCACATTAAGATTCATAAAAAATAATATGAGAAGTACCATGGGTGAAGACAGATTTAATGCTCTGATACTCCTTTACATACACAAAGATATACCACTCCCTATAGATGCAGTTATAGATATGTATGCTGGCTAATATCCAAGAAGAATGCTGTTCATCAATCCCTTAAGTTAAATTTAAGAACATGATGAAAGTAGATTAAGACGAATATTCCAGCGTTTTGACTTTCTGTAATAAAAAATAATATGTAATAATATGTAATATGTACTCTTGCGTTGTCTATCACAGTATGTAGTCTATTACAGTAAGTTAAGAAGTTCTTGGAAGTAGAATATTGCGTTTTGACTTTCTGTAAAATTAAAAAACATACTCTTGCTTTGTAATTGGAAATTGCAACAATACATGTAAAAGTGTATTCAATATATAAATGTTGAGAATTGAAAGTGTTTTTGCTATTCATTCTTGGAAAAAAAACAATGATTTTGCAAATGTTATATTAACAAAACTAGTTAGAAAAGGGTACTGAAAACTGT